AGAACACTGTTTTCCTCCTGCAGCTTGCTGGTGTGGACAGGCTGAGAGGCTCGACACAGACTGAAAAGACTTCACCTGGAGCAAAGGGTCACCTGGACTAGAAATTCTCTTGTGGATCGAACCCAGCTCAGCCAGCACCTGGTGGCTCTGAACAAGTTATTATTTTCATCATAGAGTGGGCATGGCTGCCCTGTCCCTGCTAAAGGCTGTTATGAGACATTGCTAATAGCACTCTGTAACCCTTTACACATGTCCTTTTCTATAATTGCAGGGTTTCAAATGTGGGCTTTTTGACAAATCATATCCACCCTGACTCAGACATTTGATGTATCTATACCTCGTACCAAGGAAAAACCTCTGGAGCCAGAGCCAGGACATGCAGGTCTATGTCTTGGTTTAGCCACACCCTTGCATCTGACCTTGGGCAAGTCAACATCTGTGACCCTCAGGCTCATCGGGCTCATCATTTCTGAATCTCAGCCTTCCTATCTGTAAAATAGGAATAGCAAATACCTCCAAGCCACTCACAGAAAATGGTATGTATCAGGCCTCTGGGACCACAAAATGCTCCCTAGATGGAAGGCATTAAAGTGGCTGCCATCTTCACATTTCTCACCTCCATCCCCCTTGAAAGATGCTCGGTGAGTTTGAACTGTCATTCGGCCATCTCATTCAGCAGAAATGACTGGCCTCGGAGGGCTGGGCTTGGACAGCCCCGTCATCTGCTTGCCAAGCACAGGCAGGAGAGGGTTAACCAGGGGAGGAGCAACTCAAGCTGCCACCACAGAGGGGCCAGTGGAGTCCAGGGCTACAGCCTCCTGCCACAGCAGGCCCTGGAATGATGACAACTTGTCAGGTTTCCTTTTGTTCTAACAACCATAAACACCTTTGAGGGGCTCTGTCTGCAGGGATCCAACACTTTGCGTGAAGCTAAAAGAAAAATATCTGCCCACACCCAGGGATTCTCGCTACAAAGACAACCCCTTTGGAGGAAGCTGGAATGCTTTGTTTTCATTTGGCATCACACGGGCCAAGCAGAAGATTTCTCCCTTTTCTTTGCCTTACAGGTTGGCAAGGGGGACACTGCAACAGGATTAAAGAGAGGAGACAGAGAGAGCTTCTCCCTCTCCT